ACCGGGGGAGGGGACAGCGGGACCGGGGGTACGAGGGGACAGCGGCACCGGAACCGGGACCGGGGGAGGGGACAGCGGGACCGGGGTACGGGGACAGCGGCACCGGAACCGGGACCGGGGGAGGGGATAGCGGGACCGGGGTACGGGGACAGCGGCACTGGGACCGGGACCGGGGGAGGGGACAGCGGGACCGGGGGTACGAGGGGACAGCGGCACCGGAACCGGGACCGGCACCGGGACCGGGGGAGGGGACAGCGGGACCGGGGTACGGGGACAGCGGCACCGGAACCGGGACCGGGACCGAGGGAGGGGACAGTGGGACCGGGGTACGGGGACAGCGGCACCGGAACCGGGACCGGGACCGGGGGAGGGGACAGGGGGACCGGGGTACGAGGACAGCGGCACCGGAACCGGGACCGGGACCGGGACCGGGACCCGGACCCGGGGAGGGGACAGCGGGACCGGGGTACGGGGCCAGCGGCACCGGAACCGGGACCGGCACCGGGACCGGGACCGGGACCGGGACCGGGGGAGGGGACAGCGGGACCGGGGGTACGAAGGGAAAGCGGCACCGGGACCGGGACCGGGGGAGGGGACAGCGGGACCGGGGGTACGAGGGGACAGCGGCACCGGAACCGGGACCGGGACCGGAACCGGGGGAGGGGACAGCGGGACCGGGGGTACGAGGGGACAGCGGCACCGGAACCGGGACCGGGGGACGGGACAACCGGGACTTGGGGCATCCCCGGCAGCGGGCAGGGCGGGGCTGACCGGCGGTGCCACCGGGTCCCGTTGTCCGCAGCGTCCCGGGGCGGTCGGTATGGCGGGCCGGGGCCGCGGCCGGGGCCGGGGGCAGATGACGTTCAACGTGGAAGCCGTGGGCATCGGCAAGGGGGACGCGCTGCCGCCGCCCACGCTGCAGCCCGCGCCGCTCTTCCCGGTGGGTTCCCCGGGAATTCGGGCATCCCGCTGGGAATTTGGGAGTCCCGGGGGGAATTCCCTGGGAATTTGGGCGTCCCGGGAATTTGGGAGTCCCGGGGGGAATTCCCTGGGAATTCGGGCGTCCCGGGAATTTGGGAGTCCCGGGGGGAATTCCCTGGGAATTTGGGCATCCCGGGAATTTGGGAGTCCCGGGAATTTGAGCATCCCGGTGGGAATTCCCTGGGAATTTGGGCATCCGGGGAATTCGGGCGTCCCGGGAATTTGGGCATCCCGCTGGGAATTTGGGTATCCTGGG